TCTAAGAGGCCGAGGTGGGAGGATCACTTAAGGTCAGGAGTTCAAGATCAGCCAGAGCAAAAGCAAGACCCCATCTCTACTAAAAATAGAAAATCTAGCCAGGCATTGTGGCCGGCACCTGTAGTCCTCGCTACTTGGGAGGCTGAGACAAGAGGCTTGCTTAAGCCCAAGAGATTGAGGTTGCTGTGAGCTACAAGGATGCCACAGCACTCTAGCCAGGGCAACAGAGTGAGACTTTATCTAAAAAAATAGAAAATTAGCTGAGCATAGTGGTGCACACCTACAATCCCAGCTACTCAGGAGGCTGAGACAGGAAGATCAATTGAGCCCAGGAGTTTGAAGTTGCAGTGAGCTATGAAGACGCCACTACACTCTAATTAGGGCAACAGAGTAAGACTCCAGCTCAAAAAAAAGAAAGAGGGCAGCGCCTGTGGCTCAAAGGAGTGGGGCACTGGCCCCATATATCGGAGGTGGTGGGTTCAAGCCCAGCCCCGGCCAAAAACTGCAAGCAAGCAAGCAAGCAAGCAAGCAAGCGGCCCAGCACCTGTAGCTCAGCGGCTAGGCCGCCAGCCGCATACACCAGAGCTGGTGGGTTCAAATCCAGAGCGGGCCTGCCAAACAACAATGACAACTACAACCAAAAAACAGCTAGGCATTGTGGTAGGCACCTGTAGTCCCAGCTACTTGGGAGCCTGAGGCAAGAGAATCTCAAGAGAATCTCTTAAGCCCAAGAGTTTGAGGTTGCTGTGAGTGTGACGCCACAGCATTCTACCCAGGATAACATAGTGAGACTCTGTCTCAAAAAACAAAAAGAAGAGAAAAATAAAATCACCACTACCGTATGATCCAGCAATTCCACTACTTCCAGGAATATGCCCAAACAAACTGAAATCATGGTTTTGAAGAGATACTGTATGCCCATGCTCACAGCACCATTATCCACAATCACTAAAATATGGAAGCAGCCCAAGTGTCCAGTGCAAACTGAGGTATACACATACAATGAAACATTATTCAGCCTTTAAAAGGAAGGAAATTCTAACACCTGCTACAACACAGATGAACCTTGAAGATATTATGCTAAGTGATATAAGCCAGTCACAAGAAGACAAATACTACACGTATAATTCCATCTATATGAGGTACAAGAGTAGTCAAAATCAGAGAGACAGTTACCCAGGGCTGAGAGGAAGAATAGACAGTTACTGTTTAATGGGTACAGAGATTCAGTTTTCTAAGATGAAAAGAGTTATGGAGATGAGTGCTGGTAGTAACTGTTCAACATTACAAATATACTTAATACAACTGAACCATGCACTTAAAAATAGTTAAGACAGTAAATTTTATGTTATGAAGTACTAAAACATGTTACAACGTGGATGACCCTGATAAAAGACTCCATACCGTTAAGATCCCATTCATATGAAATGTCCAGAGGAGGCAAATCTGTGGGGACCAGTAGACTGCGGCTGCCTAGGGCTGAGGTGGGGCAGAGACTGCTCAGGAGCACATGGTTTCTTTTTTGGGATACTGAAAATGTTCTAAAATTAGATTATGGTGATGGTTACACAACTCTGAAAATATATCACTACTTTAAATGGGTGAACTTTATGGCAAGTGAATTATACCTCAATAAAGCTGTTAAAAACCATACACAGAGGCACATTTTTAATATTAACATAGGTAATATCATACTGTGTTCCAGAAAGATTATACCAGCTGATGCCTTGTGCACTTTTTCACAGCGATTACTAAGCCGCATGTGAATACTAAATATGGAGGCTGTATTTGGATGGTATTTATCTTTTTCTTTTTTTTTTTTGAGACAGAGCCTCAAGCTGTCCCCCCTGATAGAGTGCCATGGCATCACAGCTCACAGCAACCTC